ACACACACACACACTCACACACACACACACACTCACACTCACACACACACTCACTCTCACACAAACACTCACACACTCTCATACACACACACACACACACACACACACACAAACACTCACTCTCACACAAACACTCACACTCACACACACAAACACACACACACTCTCATACACACACTCTACACTCACACACACACACACACACACACACACACAGCTGCTCTCTCGGGGCGCATCTCATTCTCTGCTATCGATCAACCAGAATGGCTCACCTCACTAACACACACTTCTGCTGCTGGAAACGCTTTGTTATTCACGAGAGGCTCGTTCACACGAACAAATCAGATGCATTTGAGTCAGTCGCAGTAATGCGCTTCTGAATATCATATTCATGGTGACAGGAAATGTTGTTTTATAAATGCCTTACTTCGCTCTGAGAAGGTATTTGTGCTTTTAATAGGGGTTTAAGCCGTTTACGACACTGACGTGAGGGAGGAATGATGGCCGGCGTGGGACGCTAGCGGCCGTGGATGTGGGTTCTGGGAGGTCCAAATGAGCTGTTATATACCAGCACCAGCGCAGCGCCGTAAAACCAGGAGAGAGAGTCACCGGCGGGCCGCTGGTCAGATGGGGGTGGACCTGCTCAAACCTGCAGAACCTGCAAGGCACAATAAAACTCAAGCCTACTGAGCGTCAGCTAATCGTTCACAGCGAAACACTGCAGCGGCGCATTACGACACGAGCGTCTCTCCCGTCCACGTCATCTGTATTCACACCGAAACCATGCAACAGAGCCGTCTGGCACCCGTCGCACGCACCGACACACACAGACAGTACCAGAGATGATTTATGGGCCTGCGGGCTTTAGGATGTACCAGGGTTTTATTAAACACCTTCTGGAGGCCCGGGCATGACAGCGGCTGGATCCGTCCAGTTTAAGAGTTTTTCAGGAGGTCAGTCAGAACTTCCTTTGACATGTGGCCAAGCAATTAAAGGAGTCTGAAGCTGGAACGCGATACATACGTGCGGCTCTCAGCTGTTTCGGCAGGGGCTCTCAAACAAGCCATATTTTCTGCCAATATGTTCTCCATTTGATGGTGCAAGCGAGAGCAGCTTATAAACGCGGCCGGGATGGATTTCACATGTGCCTCGGTGGGAGGGATTCTCCGAGAGTGATCTCGATCTTTTCCGTGCGGATCTCGCCGCTCGCTTACAGCTGGCTGTAAAAGCTCCACATCCACAATTACTCCGACCGCTAGATTTATAAATCCCTCCTAATGTCGCCGTGGATGCATTACGGCTCTAAATGGTGAAACTGATTGCTTGCCCCCTCTGTAACGGCACACTTGATGATTATAAATGAAATCGTAAATAAGGCCGCTGGACTTTTACAGATTTTGGCACAGTAGACGTAGTAGTTCTGCCTGACCTGCGCAGGTCAACGTTTAACAGATTGCTGCCGTGGAGCGCGTCTGCGAGCAGAGAGCCGTGTTAAAACATCATCATTATCTCCAGCGTTTCCTCCACAGGACAGCTGGCGCTGGCGAGGACCGTCGCAGGATTTCAGAACAATGTAGTCACGACTGGACTCGAAAGAGATGCTTCTGATCCACACAGCTCATTTGGAAGAAAGGAAACGGACAGAGATGAGAACTTGATACTCGTGAATTTATGACTCCTGAACTCGCTATTTTAATGTTCCTAACCCAACTTTAATGAATGTTTGAATGAACTGATTTAATGATTCAGTCATAAAAAGGTGAATCAGTGTTTTAAATGAATCGTTTCAATAAACGCCCATCCACTATCAAGAGATGAAAGGCAATCTTAACTTGAAGCATCAAATTACGTCCAAAAGGTGAGTTAATGTGTGTGTGTGTGTTTGTGTGTGTGTGGGAGTGTGTGTTTGTGTGTGAGAGTGTGTGTGTGTGTGTGTGTGTGTGAGAGAGTTTGTGTGTGCGTGTGTGTGCGTGCGTGCGTGTGTGTGTGCTTGTGTGTGTGAGAGTGTGTGTTTGTGAGAGAGGGTGTGTGTGTGTGTGTGTGTGTGTGTCCACTTGAATATCATCAGCTGCTCAGATTGATGGCTGATGACAGATGCGAGATATCGCTAATGGAGTTGAACCATAAAAGTGAAGGATGCGGTTTACAGGTTTGCGCTGTGAGGACGGCGTTTCCCCGCTGCACTTCCCTCCATCAGATCACATAAGGTAAACAGTTCTCGAGTGTGTTTTTGATAAACGCAATTTGCTGCTACGCTCTTTTCCAGTCTGAATGGTGTGTTCTGCCTCTTGTAGGTTAATTTACCAAATCAACTGAAAGAATCGGGAGGTCTAATGAAAAGCAGTGCACTGGCAGAGGAACAGCATGCCAGCGGTCAGCTCCAGAACACGCTGCTTTAATGTGGTGATCGCACGCTTGGAGTTTAAATGTTCGTTTCCATAAAAAACCCCACAAGCCTTTCCGCTGTGTTTTTAGGTCTTACTACTATTTCCTCCCTGAGGTTGGTTATCAGACACACACACACACACACACACACACACACAGGTTCTGACCCGTCTCTGGGAAATCCACCCGACTGACCCGCTGTCCTGAGGAAACACTATCACACAGCTCTGCTCTGCTGACATGTTTGCGCTCTAGTCGACAGGTTTGCGTTCCTCACGTTCCTCAGTACGGGCCGTTCTGGCCTCGACTCAAAGGCTTTACTGTTATTTTTAATACACGTATTACACGTATTACATCTCTAAACAGTTCAGAAAGAAGGAAATCGCAGAATGAATGTAAACAACATGAGCTTCCTGAGCACGCCACGTTTTTCCTCATCAGCAGCAGCCCGGCCAGGCGTTGATTCGGTAATGAGACGTCAACTGACATTTGTCGTTAAGTAGCCTAGTTAAAATAATGATCTCGCAGTGCTGCCGTTCACGCCTCAAGAAAACATACGAGCAGCTCAAAAGCTTCAATATACACACATACAGCACCAGTGTGGACACTGACTGAATTTTTTATATTTCATAATTTTCATGACTTTATTATTATAAATAGTAATAATATAGTCACACTGAAGAATAAGTGGATTTGTCCAACCTTGGCAGTGTATATAGAAACACACACACACACACACACACACACACACACACAACACCTTCTGGAGGCCCGGGCATGACAGCGGCTGGATCCGTCCAGTTTAAGAGTTTTTCAGGAGGTCAGTCAGAACTTCCTTTGACATGTGGCCAAGCAATTAAAGGAGTCTGAAGCTGGAACGCGATACATACGTGCGGCTCTCAGCTGTTTCGGCAGGGGCTCTCAAACAAGCCATATTTTCTGCCAATATGTTCTCCATTTGATGGTGCAAGCGAGAGCAGCTTATAAACGCGGCCGGGATGGATTTCACATGTGCCTCGGTGGGAGGGATTCTCCGAGAGTGATCTCGATCTTTTCCGTGCGGATCTCGCCGCTCGCTTACAGCTGGCTGTAAAAGCTCCACATCCACAATTACTCCGACCGCTAGATTTATAAATCCCTCCTAATGTCGCCGTGGATTCATTACGGCTCTAAATGGTGGAACTGATTGCTTGCCCCCTCTGTAACGGCACACTTGATGATTATAAATGAAATCGTAAATAAGGCCGCTGGACTTTTACAGATTTTGGCACAGTAGACGTAGTAGTTCTGCCTGACCTGCGCAGGTCAACGTTTAACAGATTGCTGCCGTGGAGCGCGTCTGCGAGCAGAGAGCCGTGTTAAAACATCATCATTATCTCCAGCGTTTCCTCCACAGGACAGCTGGCGCTGGCGAGGACCGTCGCAGGATTTCAGAACAATGTAGTCACGACTGGACTCGAAAGAGATGCTTCTGATCCACACAGCTCATTTGGAAGAAAGGAAACGGACAGAGATGAGAACTTGATACTCGTGAATTTATGACTCCTGAACTCGCTATTTTAATGTTCCTAACCCAACTTTAATGAATGTTTGAATGAACTGATTTAATGATTCAGTCATAAAAAGGTGAATCAGTGT